TTTGCTAATGTTCTCAGTTATCTCCGACTGTTCTTCATGTATACAACAAGCTCCATCCTGGGTCCACTTCAGGTATCTTGTTACATGACTATCAACATTGGTGTGATAGTAGCATATGACCACCATTGTTAGATTTACTGTAGGTCTCTAGTTTTTCAAGTATAGGCCTTCTTGGCTTAATTAAACTTACTGAAATATTTGAGTGTATTCACAGTTGCCCTCCCTATCATTTGTTGAACTAGCTATGCAAGTTTATGCCTATATAGGTAAGGTGTGGTTGCTTCATTGAATCAAAGTTGTAGAAACAAAATTAGAATTAAATTCCACATGATTCAATTTGTAATATTTATATTTTATAAAGTAATTGATTATGTATTCTTATTGTACCAAGAGGCACTGCATTTTTCTTCTCTATAGCTGAACACTCAAATGTGTAAATAAATGTGAATTGTGCATAAATGCATATCTACAAAATATTGTTTTGTTGTCTGCACTTTTTACTTTACTGTAGATTTACTTTTTAAGTAAACAATAATATAAATGTATATTTTTTAAAAATAGGTAACTTCCTGTTATCTCGTCTCAAACTTTTTTAGTAATTAAATTTTAGAGAATAGTATATTACATTACATTACATTATGAATATTTGCTATTTTAAACTATTTACTTAGGATATTCTTTACTTTTTCATTTTAATCAAAATAAAATAAAATTAAACATTCCATTCGCTCTTAGCGAAACACGCTCTTTTGTAATTTCATGGAATTTTTTGCCTGTCTCCTTTTGTCTTTTTTTTAAAAAACTGCCATCACCTGGTATTAGTTTAAGTAATGTCAAATAATATGTATTTTACAGATTTCAATGGGGCAGATGTTGCAAGATTTTGGGAAATTTCTTGGTATGTTTCTTTTGGTATTGTTCTCATTCACAATTGGGTTGACTCAACTTTATGATAAAGGATTTACTGTCAATGAAGAGAAGGACTGCGCTGGGATTTTTTGTGAGCAGCAAAGCAACGACACATTCCACTCGTAAGTTTCAGTGCTCTCTGGCCGTGCATACTGCTGATGCTTTGCTTGGACCTTGCTTGGCATATGCTAATTATTAGAAATTGTCTAACTCTGTTGTCAGCCTGATAATAAAATTGTTAATTCCCTTACTTTAAATTTTTCATTGATTCCATAATATATATATAAATGGCATTTATTGAGCATGTAATTGACTCTACAAAGATTTTACTAGAGTCTTGTTTAAGGAAGTACTTTTACTTAATTATATAATACACCTTATAGAGCAGACATGTCAAACTTGCGATGTCACATGATGTTGCGCGACGTATTGGAGCTTTTTCTCCATTGCTGGCCATGGGGTTGGAGTGGTTTCCTGATGACGCTTCTGGCCCGCTGGCCGGCAGTTTGACACCCCTGCTATAGAACAATCATAATGCTACATTTTGTATTTGATGTCAAAATGCATTCAATAGTGAGTTGAAAAATTTAACTTACAAATTGCTCTGATTTCTCTCATACTCATAACTGGAAAAATAATACCAAACCTCTACCACCTCCTCTTTCATTTCTACTTATACTGTGTAATACCATAGCTCTTCCATTTAAAAAGATTAGCCAGTCATCCTTGAAACAAATATGTTTAGCTGTCTCTTAAATACTTCAGCATGGATGTCCATGCCAGTTTCTATGTGTTTACCCATAATTCTGTTCCATCTTATTTTTGTGTTAATCTCAGAACTTTAAATTTTTGCATGGCTTTATATTTATGTATTTGTATTTATTTCTGTAATTTGACATTTATTTTTCACTATATATTTACAAATGTTTACATATATTGTGAGATAAAAAATGATGTATGTAAACCAATGCAGATTAAAATCCAATTCACATATTAAACCATGAAGTTGCAATGAAGTTATATATAAAGTTCATTTTTATCCTGAATATCTAATCAAAACACATAGAGTATTTCCATTTTTACACTAAGTTTCACCCTCCTATATACCTATCAGGTGTTTCCTCTCTTTCACTGGGCTCCTATACAATTTTAGACCTAAACATTGAAGTAAATTAGAATAGCATTATTTTAATCTGAATTTTAAAAATGATGAGCAATACAACAAATGAACTCTTTCCTTATGTGTTTTCAAGGGTTATCTAATCAAAGCTTTTTTTTTCTATCCTTAGGTTTATTGGCACCTGCTTTGCTCTGTTTTGGTATATATTCTCCCTTGCACATGTAGCTGTATTTGTCACCAGATTTAATTATGGTGAAGAATTGCAGTCTTTTGTGGGTGCTGTTATTGTTGGCACATATAACGTAGTAGTTGTGATTGTTCTTACCAAACTTTTAGTGGCGATGCTTCATAAAAGTTTTCAGCTAATAGCAGTGAGTATTTTTAGGATTTATTGTTTTATTCCCTGTATAACAAAATTTGAAGCCTGAATAATGTCTTCTAGATTAGGATGTGGAATTTTCTATTTTTGGTGTATACTTTATAATGCCTGAAAAACACTGATGGGAATCGTTTGTCTTCATTAATAATTCATAAGCTAAATCTTGTCTTTAGTGGGAGGAGGAGTAAAACAAAAAGTCAAAATCATGACTATGTAATTGAGCCCCTTTTATTTTTGTGTGACACATATTAAAAGGGACATGACATAGAGGCAGAACACAATATCTTGACACAAAGCTGTGTTTAATCATAATTTATCAAAATTTCTGACATCTTTATGTGTTAAATAATTTAGAATCATGAGGATAAGGAATGGAAGTTTGCTCGTGCGAAGCTGTGGCTTAGCTATTTCGATGATAAATGCACACTACCTCCACCTTTCAATATTATTCCTTCTCCCAAAACAATCTGCTACATATTTAACAGTCTCAGTAAATGGATTTCTTCTCTCACATCATCGGGCAAAGTTAAGCGGCAGAACAGTTTAAAGGTAAGGAATTGGTTATATAATTATCACGTACATTTAATTTTTATTGTTCCTTCATTACTTTGGAAAACTTATATAGCTTATAACTTATAACTTAATCATAACTCTGGGCAATGTACATTAAATGACCTCTCTCATTTAATGTCATGCAAATATATATATCAACAAAAAGCAAAACCTATAAACAAACACCTCAAACAAAACATAGCCAGGTTCATTAATTGCACATTCCGCCTCACAGGACATATAATGTCTTGATTTTCCATGTGCATTTCCTAGAGAAAATCCTCATTTTGAAGCATCCCTAAAGACTAACAGGTCAGAAACATCCAATTTCAGGGCAG